TAGGCATTCCAGAATATGTGAACAAGTTTCCATTTGTAGTTATTGTCTGTCCACTTCCGTACGTGCGTACTTCACCGACTCTGAGAAATTCCAGCCTGTATCTCTCCATTTCTTTGTTAAGTTGCACCAACCCATCTGATATAAAGTCCTCACAGTGTACTGTCCAATTCATATCCTTTTACGTGAGCATCGATTCGTCAACAAATTCTTCCTTGTAGACATTTTAAATCATGTTTAAATTCGGAATGGTCAGGTTGTTGGCCTAATGCACCCTAGCCTGTAAGTGGGACTGCCACCTTCACTCGTATTGTAGTGGGCATTTCCTCCGCACCAGTCGTCAGGATTATACCACTCTTATGTAGGTTAGTCAGTGTTCTATCCGCTAGACTATAGAATTGTTCTTTCTCCTCAAAGGTTGATATTTGGGGAGGAGAGGTTCTATTAGCCATCTAGTAGCGTCACTTCACTCCCCCTACGGACCCCATGATGAATGTCGCCCTGGTGACGGAGGCAGTATGATCTCTGAAACGTTGGTTAACATCGACCAGACTACACGGCGCGACAACCCAGAAGACAGAAATCTTCATACTCACCGCTGTGAAAACCTCAAATAATACAAAAAATAATCAGTCGAGATATTGATTTGAATTTTCAATGTAGTCAGTACTGTAAAAATAATCTCTCTGGCAACGTGTGTACGCTACTTGATGCTAGACACTCCACATTCCCACGAGTTTCAGGTGATGTGAATCGGAAACCACTACTACTTTGACCCCAAAGCAATTAATCAGAGTGGTTTCAGTACATGACCACTTTATCGCCATTTTATACTCCTCTTGTGTTTCTGTTTGCGTTGTTTTTGTGCCTAGTCACTCGAACCACATTTTGTTCTCTGAAAGAGAAGGCTCATGACAACTCCATATGGGTTGAATGTTTTCCATAATGACATGAGTCAGCTGTTATCCACTAGGACTGGTTCAGTTGCTGTTTCAGTTATTTTGTGCAGCAGCAAATTTTTCTTTTGTGAAAATGTTTGGATCGAAGGGACAGATGCCTGTAGCGATCACAGCCAGTTTAACCACTGGTCAAACTAGGTGGCGAAATTGGGTGGGGAGGTGGGTTATCCACATTGTCAATACAATTGCATAAAACGTCGACTTTGAGGAACTTATTCGTACTTTGCTAAAATTCAAGTTTTGAAAATAGAATTCAAAGCTCGAGTCTATATCTCATTTATGTTTTGTGTAAAGTACGTAGTACCATATTGTTCTCTTAATGACGTACACTAAGTGTGAAATTATGAATGCAGAATTTTAATTCATACTGTTGCAAGTTAATTGGGAGTTGCCCTCCGTGCTTGCCACTGGACCCACGGTTCGTTGGTTCAAACCTGCCTGAGGTCGATGGATTTTTAAGGGTGATAAAAATCCGTATCACAACTTCCTTTAGAGGAGGAGTGAAGCTGGCGGTCCACGTCCTAGATTTACGGCATGTAAAAGAACCTTACGAGCATGAACAAGATGTTTTTTCGAAAATGAAAGATTCCATTTCAAACACTTGCTGTTGAATTGTAAACTTCATTGAAATGAATGAACAAAGACCGACGGACAAACAGATGCGGACCATGCAACATCTACCTACCCTGAGACTGACACATTGGAAAAACCCTCTGCCTCTGTCAGGGATCGAACCCCAGATGTGCAGTCTGTAGCCAGTTGCTATACTGACTTAGTTACAAAGAACAGTAATTTCTGAGTCTATGGTGCTAGTAGCTTTACAACAAAAGATTTGTATCTGCAATAACGATGTGTTCAGAATAGCGGAGAATGTTGTTGCAAGTCGAGTGTGCTCGACTGAAGTATACCTTCTTTGATTGTGTATAATTACTGAGGAAGTTAGCGCAGTAGTACAGCATCTGGGAATGTCTAACTCTGCGGTATTCTTCTTCTCAGACTCTACTGGCAAGCGTAATTGCGGTACGTTCGAATAAACTGCGGCCACTTCCCGGTTAACTCGGTGGTTACGTATATCGTCCTTTCATTCACGTTACACCACATGAACTATGCAGTTGAAACATGATTACAAAAAAATAATGTAAAATTTGTATACAGTTTCCACATTGCTACGTATTTTGTACTGGTTATATGACGACATTAACAATTCCGCCACAGAATAGTCAGCTCCTCAGAATGTATATATAATATGTTGGTATGAGTGTAAGAAATATCTCAGACAACTACAGAAATTGTTTAAGAACATGGAGCGTGATTAAGTTACGTGGTAATCGGTGTAAGATTGTTAAATTAATTTAGTTTATGCAGTGCAGAAGGTAGATTTAATATTGAGAAAAAAATACTGAATTTATTAAAAATTAGATCAGAGTTAACATACACTCGCAAGTTAATTTTCCTTGAAGTTTCCGTAAAAATTATATGGTAAATCGTACATTTCCTTGCCTCCAGCTTATCCACTAATAGTGATTGTTCCTGTAAGTTTGTGATCTTACATTTAAATCGGCCATCATTGGAGATACTAAGGTTCGAAATTCGTCTAGGGATGCACCGACCTGGAACAAAGCATCAATTTATGTTAGTAACAGCTGTAGTACTGTTGGGGGTCCGCAGTGGCTGCGCTGTCTGAGGCGTGGGCCTTGTGCTGCTTGGTTGCTGGGACCGTGGGTTCGAATCCCACTCAAGCCACGGATGTTTGTCCGTGTTTTTCTGTGTTGTACTGTCCTGTGTACAGGTAGAGGCCTTGCGACGGGCCGATCCCTCGTCCAAGGAATCCATAGATCGAGCCAACGAAAAGTTGGGACCCGCAGTGCTCAGGCACTTGAACGGGTCGTTCCCAGTATCCCCAGTAGTACTATTGACGTTTGGACGAACCACTCCTGAGATTCATTGACAGTTAAGAGGATAAATACCAAAAATGTGATGTTCTTAAATCCGTTAAAGTGAAATGAATGGTCAGTCCGTTAACCTTTGTAGACCACTTTTATTGTTTTTATTAATTTTCCCATTTTTGTTATTACTCCGAATAAATCTTGGTATTTATTATGAGTTTCTGAATTTTCCATTTCTGACTGAGATGTTAAGAAGGCGATAAGTCATTTCAGCATGATGTGATGCGTCGGACTACGTGAAATTTCTAGTTTTATTGTAAAATGTTCTGAGATCACATTTTCATTAACTTTCCCTCGTGACGGAGTCCCGTTTAAAAATAGAGGGAATAGCGTCACAGCGACCAATTTAAGATTCTCGTACTGTGTATTGGATACAGAATAATTTTAGGCTATCTGAACTCCACGTAGAGTGGTTCTTGAGTTACTTATGAACTAGATATTCCTCCGTTCACATTTTACGATGGTTTTCTTATTCACTTTCCTTGTCATCAGAAGTACCACAAGTCTCTACTGTGGGGTCTCTTGATCATAACATTTATTGATGACCTATCGTGCTAATTTCTCTTATTTGCTAATGGCTGGAAAATTTATCAAAACTTGAATATTGCAAATTTCTACATGCAATCTTGATTTGGTACGGGTGTGACGTGGTGGAAATAATAGGAACTGAATATTCATAAGAATAAAATTATATTATTCTCATGTAGAACTGACAATATCGATTTTGAATACCGTCTTTGTATTCTTTTAATTTGATGTGCGGACTGTATAAATTGTTATGATGTAATGTGAGAGAGTAAATTGAATTTCTATTGTCATGTTAATTTGCCTGTTCTGAAAAGTTGACGATGTTAGACCTTATTTGTTACAATACCTATAATTCTTTTTGTTTTTAGTTGTTTCATATGTATATAATGCTTTAATTAGGTTGCAGCTAGATTATGCCTTTGTCATATAAAATAATCGTAGATTGACTGACCTTAATTAAATGGAAAAGATACAAAGAAAATTTACCATCTTATTTTATAAGGTTTATTTATTTTGATTTTAAATTGTTTACATTTTAGAACACTTTATTCGAGATGACATCTCAACGCTAAGACACTTTGTAGTGGATTGTGATTTGATGATTGATATTAATTTGTCGTCTCCTTCTTCTTCTTCTTCTTCAGGTTTTTGCTGTTGACAACAATATTTATTTTACAAAATGATTTTATTTCTGAAATTGTTTTCATATTTTATTTTCATTGTGCTCTGCTGTAGTTTGCTTTAGTTTCTGTTTTCAAGGATACGAATAAGTTTATTGAATTTTATTGTTATTGTTTTTACTACTGTTGCTACAGTAAATTCCAGATTATCGTTGATAATGAAGGACAGAAGACTTATGAATAATCAAAAAACATGGATAATTCATAATATTTTGTTTGGTGTACAAATAGTTTGTAAAGATGGCTTCTTTTACAGAATTGTTTAGACGTTTCCTCACGGAAGTACGAATTTAACTTACATCTTCCCTATCTTCAGGGAAGCATTAACATTGTCTGTCTGTCTGTCTGTCACACGCATCACTCTTCTGCCATACTTCAGTGTTTCTCCTTTGGTTTTTAAAACTTTTCATAGCACACACCATGTCAGTTTTTGACATGCTTATTTCTTCGTTAGGAAATTCTTCAAATGATCATCAAGATCTAGAAACTTTGCTCTACGTTTGAACTCGTATTACAGGATTCACATAAGACCATGCCTGAGATACTCCGTATTGGTTAAGCATCCAATGCCGTCATTTTTTCCCCATAATTCTATTGTGTTTACTCATCGCCCTGATGATGGAGGCATTAAGGACCTCTGAAACGTCAGTAAACTTTTACCAGACTATACGACGCAACAGCCCAGAAGACAGCCATCTTGAAAAAAGGGTCTGAAACATCTAAAACAATTTGGTTCGCGTGTTTTATTTTATGTAACAACGTAAAGGTGATAAGTAATTATGAAACAAATATAAAATCGACTTTCACGTGGTGTTCCTCGGTTACAGTCACTATTATGATATAAAGTTTATCCAGGCTTTATTTCTTCGTATATTACAGTAGTATATCATTTGTCGTCCGCCATTTGACAGCAATATTTTCGCATCCGTATCGTTGGTTCTTGTAACGACCGTCAAGTCGCCACCTGTCTCACGAGGCATATCCAACAGGTGTTGTGACGTACTTATAGTTCAGCTGCGCCGTTAAGTTATCTGATGTGTCCCATTCAATTCCAAACGGCCCAGATTTTCTTTAGACTTTCTGATGGCATATTCTAAGGCAAATTTTAAAAACAGCGCCGATAAATAATCTCCCTGTTTCAGGCCGCTCTGACTAGGAAATGTATCGGACGAGAGTTTACCTACACGAATTTTGCTAAATGTTTTTATTCATACAGATTATTTTTAAAATTATACAACTTCAGTTTTTTTTGTAGTGTACTTCAGTTTTTTCTTTGAAGAAAAAAGTTTTTATATGTGTCAAACTTTAATTATTTTGACTGCCAAATAATTTGCCTTTCAGTTTCATTTAAATTTTTATTTTAATGTATACGTTATTTTATGTATTTCTGAACTCATAAATGTGTTAATAACAAAACGCGTTATGTCTTAATGTTCAATAAATTAAGAACTGTATAAATGTAATATTCAGGATTTGTAAGATAAGCTTTTTTTATTATTCTGGAGCTTGTTTTGTTGACATTTAACAAATAACCCAATTATTTTGTATCTTCTTGTTAAAAATTATTTTGTTGCCTGCCAGTAACTTAAACTGCTTTAAAAACGTCTGAATAATCAGTGAAGTAGGAATACCAATCATTAATCCGCTACGATTAGGTTACTGCACATATCTCTAACTCCTGGTACGTATATATACCACCTGCTTTAACATTTGTTTTTATTGGTTATTGTTTATATCAGAATGAAGAGCTATTATTTACTTAAAAACATTAAGCAGTTGATTTTTGTAACGGTGAAATGCTGTGTTTTCTTTGCGGTACGAACTGTGAGTCTTAATTATTATTTAGACGAGTTTCGACTGAAAAGAATTAAGCTTTATGAATGATTAAAATTTTCATTCAACATCGATAATAACCAAAGAATCGATAGATCAACAGAATATTTCGAGAGATTGCTACATCATTTTTATTTACGCAGTCGGACCAAATCATACATAACCTCGATAGAGAGTGAGGTTGATCGTATATTCTAAAAGAGATTTAGTTGAACCAGCCTAGAGAGGGCGCTAGACGTCCCGTCTAGCAGCGTCTATGTGCAGTAGCTGCTCTGTCCCAGTCTGGATCAGGCGAGGTCTGGTGATACACATTCTAAGAGTCGCGATAGGTTATGTGGTATGTAATACGTGAATAATGAATGGTGACAATAAAAAAGAACTAGGATTAACCACTGGCTCCAGACCGACTCTGTGGTCCAAATTACGATCAGCCCTCGGACATGTTGGGTTATTTGTGACACTTATGATCTACACTGCTGTTGGTGGCATGGTGAGTATTTCGTCATTACATTTTACATATAAACAATGTTTTTAGAAAGTTTGATACTTTACTGTTTTTATTTAACGATGTGCATGAAAATAAAGTGGTTTGTACCTTGTGTTTTAGCTGTGAAACTAGTTAAGTGATTTTAGTATAATTGAGGACTGCATATTATTGGTTAAAATAGTTTTCGTATGATATAATTACACGAAACAAGTGTTTACATTTTGTATATATAACATGGACGACATAATATGTTTTTACTGAATCGGGTACGTTGGTTGAAAATAAGAGTTACAATTATAACACGTAATCTTTTGTTTGTATTGAAACTATGAACTATGTTTTACGCAGTTTGAAAATGGGTGTTATTTAACCGGTATTAGACTTGGAATTACCACTAAAACTTTATAGGTTCAAATTACGTTCACATTACTGTTTTTAAAATAATTATTATATTTGTTTACCGTCAAATCACAATAAAATAGTAAGATAGGTTAATTAAAATGATTAAAATATCATCTTATGTTCCATATCGAGCATTCGATTTATCGACAGTCAAAAGATGGCCATTAAAGAGACTACAAGACGATTATGATATATATCGAAAGGCCATTTATTTGCCTGACTTCGATAGCAGAAAATCGATAAAAACTTACATGAAAAAGAATTCAAAATATTTAAATTCTACAAATAAAAACTCATTGTAGTAAATGTTAAAACAAAACTTTAAATATCTCATTTTAATCTACAATTATTATTATAAAAAATTCTTTATAGCGAATTACAGCGGACACTAATTACTGACAGTGCAGTGTAGTATCTGCAATTTTATTATATTTGTAGTTTTAGATATGTTTCTGTAGCAAATGAACATAGAAAGCAATCAAAATTATAAGTATATAACCACACTTGCAATGAGAGTTATAGGTTAGTTTTCAGTAATGTTACCGAAACCTTGTAGATTAGTGTTATCGATAAAATACTTACATGAAACAATTCAAAATCTTTAAATTCTACAAATAAAAACTCATTGTAGTAAATGTTAAAACAAAACTTTAAATATCTCATTTTAATCTACAATTATTATTATAAAAATTTCTTTATAGCGAATTACAGCGGACACTAATTACTGACAGTGTAATGTAGTATCTGCAATTTTATTATATTTGTAGTTTTAGATATGTTTCTGTGGCAAATGAACATAGAAAGCAATCAAAATTATAAGTATTTAATTTACGCAACTCAATAAATGTTTTGATAAGGAATTTAAATTGAATTTTCGTTCACTCGTTTGAGAGCCATCGTTTTAATATAATAACAAATTTAAAACTTAACAAGGAAACGACTTTCATGAAATCTATGTTTGAGTACTTTTAAATTGTAGGGAACGACGCGCTGTAGGTTTTGAAAATAACCAAAATATTAACCACTACCATTTCTAGTTTCCTATTCTGAGAAGAGTATTTTTTGACGTTTAAAAGATGAGTACATTTCACCCCCTAAAATTCTGTATATAAGGCGGTAAAAATCCAACCCCAATTGTCCGATATGCAACTTCGGTTTCTTAGGGGTGAGCCACGTCGAATGTTGAAAATTATCCGTTTTGACATATATTGAAGTTGCCATCTTCAGGACGAATAATAATTGGGTGTTATTGGATGTTTTATATCCGACAGGAAGTAGGTGACGATTTGGATTTGGCGGCGCTGATTGGTGGAGTATTTATCTCCTTTTAAGGGAACGAACTTTCTTAAGTTTTCTCTCGTTGAAACTTCTTCAGGCTTATCAAGGAATGTGAATCATGAATTTAGTATTAAAATATTCTGACGCCAGTTCTTGGTATACGCTCCGATTCAGGAAAGAAACCCCCGTGTATAACGAGAGCCTCTGAGTAAGCCTACGACATTTTCACTGCAAGAATTTATGGAGATATTGATAAATATGCGATGGATATCGCCATTTAATGTCAGAAACATCTGTAAATTAATTATGGTAAAAAGCCAGTTAAAATTCTACTGACAATTATTTCTCTGGTATCATCATCCTATTTTTAATCCAATTTATCTTATTCCCTCCTTTCATCTGTTTTCCTTGCCCATTCCGTTTATTTATCTGGTTTTACTTTGTGCATTTCGTACTGTTAACTCTTCCATTAAAGAGAAACACGATAACGCTGATTAAGACAATAATTGCTGTTTATTGTGCGAATCGTACGAAACCCATATATGAAAATTGCATATATATTGATTATTAAAGCAGACGAGCTAGCATTGCCTGGGAACCTTATAACAGTAAGATTCTTTCTACCCTCAGAATTATCTCTCACTTCTCCCTAGTTTTCACTTTTAATGTCCTTAATTCTCTCTCTCTCTCTTGAAACAAATACATCATATATGTGTAACCGGGTTTGACGTAATATAGGAAAATATATACACTTTTTTTCATTCTTGTGTAATTCTTACCAGAATATATCCCAACTATATTAATTTTTTCCATATATACATGAAAGTTATACACTGTCGCCGTATACAAACGGTGTTTCAAGCAGAATTTATAATTTGATTATCATCTGTTCTCGTATAACTTTTATGATACCGAGTTCCAATGCTTTATTAATATTGTACTCAAACCTAATGTTAAATGTAGGTTTCGCTCAGCCATCTTGTTATTTTAAATTCTGCACAATAAAACCAAATCTAAAGTCAGAAACGTTTCCATTACCACAATTTAAGGGACGTGTTTGTACTAGTAGCTACCAACTTACAAGTTCGCATTGCTGCCATGTTGACATCGATATGGTATGCCCCACCAGAGATACGATCTTTATGCCAAATCTTATTAAGAACCTCTTAATTTGGTTTTAAGTTATTATGCATACCACTACGTTACCTTAGCTTCGAGACTCCAAGATGGAGACTCATTTCGAAAGCTCTGGTAGTTAACTGACGTATAATATAACTTCATGTAGTAACAACCGAGAAGATAGTATTTACTCATTTTGTTAAATTCCATGCCTTTACTGGACCCCAAGGTCCATTTTCTTATTCATAACAACCCCTGAGCCAGATTAATTCACCACACATTCTTTTACATTATTTGTTTAAGTTATATTTTAATATTATACTTCTACCTACGTCTAGGTCTCCCAAGTGGTTTCTTTCCTTCAGGGATTCCTAGTAAACTTCTGTGTGCATTTTTCATCTCTGTCATGTGCGCTACATATCCCCCCCCCTCTCAGTTAATCTGCTTTTAACCTCAACAAAAATTATTTAACATTCCTTCTTTTGGTAATTTCTCACTCTGGCCTGTCAGTATTGTGCGCGTCATATATTTTATTCGACAGAAGTTTTGTGTAGGAAATAGCTTGTAGCTGTAGTTAGTACCTAAAATCTAAACAAAAGAGTTTAAAACCGTCTACAGTCTGACTAAGCTGAGATTTGATACCGTGACGTCATACTGAATGCTGTCGTACAAGCTTTAACCTTTGCTAAAAACGTTCCAAACAGTTTACATGCTATTTGATACTGTGGGCGGGACACCAGTGATACGAAGAAGATACTGAATACTGTATATATTACGAAATACTAAAAACACACAAGAAAGAGGGAAAAGTAGGAAAGTAATGTAGAAATCACAGTCAGACGATGTAAAAACATAAGGTTATAATTTTAGCGTAAGAAAATATTTACGTATGAATTTTTTATTTAGTTATCTCCCATTCACAAAATAAACGGTCTAGTTACAATATACTTTAGAATATTATCACTAATAATTATCAATAGAATACATGATCATACAAGTTAAATATCTTTTCTTCCCTACTGATTCATTTGTTTGTTTAAAATTGATTGCTAGGAGAACAGCGTAGTTTCAAATACAGGGCGACTCAATTCTGTGTTACAACATATTCAATACATACATAATACAGCCTTCGATATATATCGAAATTTCTCTTAAACTGTTGATTTTAAAAAAAATATAAATAAAATTAAACGTTAATGAAACTTAAACAAATGTAAGTTCCAGCTTTACATACCGTATGTTCATAATTCGTTGCGTAAATACTGTGAAACCATAATAATACAATATAATTCGCGTTACATTTTGGTGGTACATTGGATGCTACGGTGTGTTACTTTTTTGGTGGTACATTGGATGCTACGGTGGTCTAGCGGTTAGAACGCTGGCCTTGTAATCCTGGGGTCTCGGGTTCGATTCTTGTTCGATAACTTGTGTTGGGCAAAGCCGTGGTCTAGGCAACACGGAGTTTTCCTCCGGGGCATCCCAACAATTACTCCATTCACACACAGAAGAAGGCAATGGCAAACCACTTCTGGATCATCTGCCAAGAACGTATATAAACAGGTCCCAGTCCGAGAAAAGGATGGAAGGATTCTGTTCATATGGACCTGTCGTCAGACAGAACACTTAATAAATAAAATTGGACTTATGCGAATAGTCATAGGATCGAGTCTTATTTTACGTTCATCATGTTGGTATTATAGATTGTAGGCAATTTAAAAATAAAATTTTATCATACCTTCCAATTGATTAATGTTCGTACCAAGTTTAATCAAAATCCGTTTAAGATCGCATACATCATAACCTAATTTAAGTTGTGGTTTTTTCCTTTTCACGTGTGTAATGTTTATACCTCCTTGACTTGGTCACAAGTGCCAATATGTAAAATAATGTAAGCATGAGGAATTTATCATTCATGTCAACCGTGTTACCTCGGCTAACACTTTGAAAAACGAAAAATAAGTCTTCCTTCTGTGGTTCAGTGTTACCACATACACTGGAACACAGAAAAGTTGATATTTAACCAGCTCATGTTAAGTCACCTCGTTATGCCTATGTTCATGTGTTTGCGCACGCTCAATTAGGAGAGACACGATATAATACAAGATTCACAAACCTATGTTAGCCAAACCTCGACTGCTAACACGCTACTTGCAAACTTACTTTTGACATTTCTCGCGATTTTGATTGCGTAATCTTTATTG